ATAGATATTAGAGTGCCACAAGGTGGTGCAATACTTTTACATAGAATTAGCAGAAGTTGCATCTGATCTATTACCCACCTGGTAAAGAAGAGTATCCAGCATACTAATACTGAACACTCTGCCTGCAGCGAATGGGAGGCGGAACATGAATGCCAGATTAGAGCCCTTATCTCTCTCTATCTGGAGAAAAGGGAAAAAGATCAAGACAAAAGATTGATGGCTCTTTCCACTGCTGATGATTTGAGATTTTCAGACCATCTGGCAATTTGTAATACAGCATTATCGTAGTTTCAGTATTTTCAGCCATTTGAAGCATGCAATCACCACAAATGCATCATATTTACTCATTCCAATGGACCATGTCATAATAAATGTGTAGCATTCAAGCAAAGTTATTTCATATCAGAGAAAAGTCTGAAATGCATTATGTTAATGTTAGGCCTGGTTAGAGTAGTTAAATTGACAACTTGCAAGGAAGAAAAATTATAAATCATTATTGGAGTCCTAAAGTCTGGGATCACACTGACAATCTGGGACTCAGAATCTATTTTAAACCTGGAAATAAAAAAAGTTTTTAGGATTTTGAAAAATGTAAAACAACGAAATGACCAATAAATCATTTAGATAATTTCTTATTATTTCTGAACTATTTCTAAATCATGTGACATATGGTTTTACACAAACTCGTGGAGTTCATGCAACTTGAATTAAAAATGCATGTTAATTTTGTATTCAACTTTTCACACACACACTGTTACTGACAATATAAATGTGCAATAACTGAAAAGAAAAAATTCAAAACAGAAACAGACTTTTGGACCCCGATGTAAGTCAAACGGTGTGGTTGTTTAGATATGACACCTTTTCAAGTTTGGAGAGAGCCAGGGAGTAGCAGTCTTTGGCACGAAACTGCATGAATCTCATATTAGAAGGATGGGTTAGCTCAGTGATTATGCTGAGACTAGGAAACAACCTAGTAGAGGACACAGTAACGGGAGAACAAATATGAAAATGAAGATTTGCGGGAAAAACTCAGCCAACAAAGTAATTAGTATCCAATGCCATTTCCAGCTAATGTAGAGAAAGACATCAGCTTGAAGACAAACACAACCAATTAGCTGAAGTTATTAATGTTTGAGCATAAAACGTACCTGAACATGGTCTGCACATTGACTATGGTTTTAGCATCTGCCATGTAGTCTTCCTCTGCACTCATAGTGCTCTCCTTATCCACCACCACCAGGTTATCAGCGTAGATGATGCCACACTGCAGCAGGTTATCCAAACTATGACAGAAACCAGTACAAATCGACCGTTCAGACTGGACTAAAACCGGTTGTGTATGTATACTGAAATGTTTTAAAAAACCTACTTGTCAATGGTACCAGCCATGTAGTACACCATAGGGAAACAGCAGATGGCTTCAAGAAAATGATTATCAGGCCTGGAAATGGAGGGGAAGAGCAGTTTGACAATGCTAATCCACTCACAGCTGCAGTTTTAAAGTTCTTAAAGGTTTGGGACTGGTAAACAACCTTATAAAAATGTATTCTCAGGGTAAAAGCTTGTGCAAAATGCATAAGCAGGTAATTGCAAAAAGGCTTTTGACACATCTCAGAGTTGCCATGGAAACTCTGAGGAAGAATCTACAATGTAATGGAAATTGTGTACACTATTTTGCATTACTGAAAGGAAGAATATGCGGAGCATAATGAACAACACTTTTGAAAGCGTTTAGCATTAGAGAGCAAGATAATACATAACGATTTCAATCTAATGCATGACAGAGTGTGAACAGTCGATAAAGAGATTTGTTTTTATGCAGATATGCATGGAAGTATTTTTAAGTAGTAAAGTCAGGTTAAGCAATGCTTTTGACTGACTTTCGAAGTCTAAAGTCATCACTATGAGCAGTAACATGCAGTGAAAACTGATGAGGCAGCTCGCTCACGGATTATCCAATAGCAGCACAATGGGATTCAGCTCCTTCCGGGGTCGGTAATAGGCACGCAGTGGCACTATGAAGTTGTACAGGCCATTTCCTGCAGTTTCAGCAGAAACGATAATCAACTTGTTTTTGAAACCATATGCCTTGGCGTCTTCAAAGCTATTGTGCCGACAACCCTGCACATAAAAACAAGTAAAACATTTAACGGACTGTAATAAATGATATCAGCTCTAAATGTGTGAAGATATCATGCTTTCATACATACATACATACATACATACATACATTTAGAGCTGATATGTGTACACACACACACACACACACACATATATATATAAGATGAAATTACATCAGTCAGTTAAAAAAAATCTAAATGTATCTTTCATAAAACGATCCCAATGGATTAAGCTGAATCGCTATCAGTATTTAAGAGTGAATTAAAAATTATACACTCACTTTGTCAAGTTGTAGGAAACAAAATAGGTGAATTAAGAGTTATACACTCACCTTGTCAAGTCGTAGGCAACAAAACGGTGCCTTTTGTTGCAAAAGGTGACAAAGAGTTGGGGAGCTTCCAATGTAAGGGGAGTTTGGAGGATAGCCTCTAATCCACCTTGAAAAAGCAGAAGGATATAAAATGTAGCAAGTCTGCTTCAATTTAATGCATATATACAGTACATGAACTGACTAACTGACTTGTTCTACAAATGCTTTATTTTTGAAAGCATTGCATGTAAATGATCAGTAGATGGCACTGTGAGAGCACTGAAGATTAAGCAGGAATCTTCACCAATTCTCTCTGCTCACCAGAGGAAGCATTAGAAAATACAGGAGCAGAACAGAATCCTGCGGCGAGAAAGACTCAGTGCTGCTCTGTAAGAGATTTAGTCTTTATCAAGAGTGTGTGTGTGTGTGTGTGTCTGTGTGTGTGTGTGAGAGAGAGAGAGAGAGAGAGAGAGAGAGAGAGAATAAGGGCACATGTCTCCTCCGGCTCTGATTGACATAAGCAAACGCTGTAATTATTCTGCAGCATGATCGCTGAATGGGTGATAGCAACTAATATGCTTAAGGTTCATCTGATCTTCCTGAAAGCTATAACATGTAATTCGACAATCACACTAGAGAGAGAGCACAGTAAAATATAACTAGAAGTCATAGAGGTGGGTAAGATTTAAAAAAAAAAAAAGTTTTATTCAGCAAGGATGCATTAAATTGATCAAAAGTGTTAGTAAAGACATTTATAACATTTGTAATTTTATTTTCACTAAAGAATCCTGGAAAAAAATGTTTTATCACCGTTTCCACAAAATTAAGCAGCACAACCGTTTTTACATTCTACATTCTACATTTTACATTCAAATAGAAAACCTTTAACTTTTAAAAACATTTAAAAATCTTACCCACCCCAAACTTTTGAACAGTGTAAGTGTATAGGGTTTATTGGCTCTGTACTTTAATATTCTATTTATTATTTTATCGTCTGCCAGTCAAAAATAAAAATGGGTTGCTTAGAAAAGTAATAGCACAGCTATCCACAACGAGCCTCTTAATTAAAAGGTGACATATCATGAAAATCTGACTTTTCCAGGTTTTAAGTGCTATAATCTGGTCCCCGGTGCATCTACCAACCAAGGAAACGTGAAAGAGATTAACCCAGTAACTTTGTTTTGGTAAGCATTTTTCTGCAAGCCTCTGCAAAAACGAGCACGTCTGATTTCACTCCCCAAGTGACGTCGCAAAGGGATCTCATTATAATATTACTGCCCCTTAATCTGTAAGTTTTCACCCACAGCACCATCATTTTGATTTCGCAAGCGACAACAGTGTACCAGCTCTAATGCCATGGCGAAAGTTTGAGCAAAACATGCTAACTGTTCTATCTTTGGCTGCACAGACGAGCACAGAACACTGTTTAGAGTCCCAGCCTCAGAGGAGACAAGAGAGCAGTGGATTTAATGATTTATTTACTGTATATTGCTGCTGCCACGCAGATCCAAAATAAACATGTGATTACCAGCTGTTTACCTTCTCAGACATAACCGACTGTTTTTGTAACTCATGTGTGTTTATAACGTAAACTTGTGTGTGAATGAGAACTTAGTTTAGTACTCACACGCTGTGACAGCTGCTTTCATACGTGTGCACTCAGAAAACCTTATATCAGAAGTTTAAACTAATATTGTTTAAAATGCATGATTTCAGTGAGATAAACATGATAATCAGAACCAAAACAGATGTTTTTAGCAGGTACGAGCTGTAACTGCGCAGCTCTATTCTGGAAAAGAGGGCAGGGAGCAGCAGCTCATCTGCATTTAAAGAGACAGGCCTGAAATCAGCGTGTTCTTCCACTCAAAATGGGCATTTTCAAAATGATATAATAAAGGATATGTGGGGTATTTTGAGCTGAAATTTCACAGACTGGGACACTAGAGACTTATATTACATATTGTAAAAAGGGGCATACTATGTCTCCTTTAAGGCTCATGCCTTTCACATTTGCTGGCTGTTTAAAAAGTCAAAGACAAACGACTGTTGTGCTTCCCATGAGAAATCACATCAATTTTGTACTTTTAAAAACATTATTTACTCTAAGGCTGGTGCTCCTTCATCATCCGATTGGTTGGTCTCATCTTCTGAGGGATCACTGAGAAGATCACAAGGCAGGATTGCAGAGGAATCGGCGATCTCCAGCACAGGGGCAATGCTGGGTCTACGACTCCCAGCTCCGTTCTCTGTGGGCAGGGCCAGTTTACTGCTGTCAACCGGGGGATCTGGGTTCTGCAGGTCAATGGCCACAGTTCCTGTAAAACAACAAAAACGAGCTATGAGAGTGGAGGCTTTCCTCTTCGGGTAAACATTGGGAAAGTGCAGCATGAGGAAATTCATGTGTCCACCGGTAAAACAAGCTATCTATAACTGTTTTTTGATCTGAAATGTTAATTGCTTTTGTGCTATTTACAGTGCAATGAAAGTGGTCAAAGAAATATTGCATTATGAACAATTTTTGATAACTCAGAATTTAGGTCAGTTCCAGTTCATTTCCAACAGTGCAATGAATAAAATGAAAAAACTTGTGTAAATTACTAGGAAAATTAGCCTGTGTATACAGTAGATGGTATAAATGTTTAATTATAGCAAAATATTTCTTAAAACGCCCTGAAATTGACCTCAACCCTGATTTATTGCTTTTAATGAACGAAGACTGATTTGCACATTTCAAATCAGTGATTTGCAAACAAAATCTTTAAGCACCGTGAGGTTTAATTTAAAAATGCTGAAGGGAAGAAAATGTTCTGAAGGGAAATTTTGCTGCTATGCAGAAGATTGTTCCTCTGCAAAATGTTAAGGGCAGTTGTGAAAACAAATCAGTGAAGAAACGTCATGGACTAATTCCTTATATATAATTAATTATGTTAGAGAGTAAGCCAGGGATATTTTACACATGCAAGAGCAGCTTCCAAGCCCAATTGAAAAAAAATAAAAATTCTTCATTTACTAGGTAAAAAAGCTTGCAAGACAAAAGCCTTAGAGCTCTTCAAAGTAACGGGAATGAACGGGAGAGAGAGGTTTCTGTAAATGTCGACATTTACACAGACATTCACTAATGATGTCTTATGATTTAACTGTCTCTCTAAACCGCATGCTTAGACTTACCATATGAAGTAGACTGATCAACTTCAACAAAGGAAAAACAATGAAAAAGTATATTTTATCATTAGCATAACTTAAACCTTCTTCTAAATTTTGATAATTTCACCCTGCCAATGCTGCTTCTGAATGTTACTCTCATACCACTAACTGGCATATGGCATCCATATGGAAACTGCATTAAACCAACCCTCACTGATGTAAACGAATTAAAACTTGTGCTTCATTTGTTTGTAACAATAACAACACCACTAATGTTTAAATCAGTCATTATTTTGGGATTTCCGCTCAGTGCTGCTAGAGGCGCAGAATTTACACACTGCAGCTTTCAAGAAACTCATTTGTCTGATGATTACAAGTTTGAAGATTCCTGTTAGTTACATCACTTTATCAGGTAGACATCGCTATATGTTCCCTCACCCATGCTTGCAATGATGCTCTGCACCGGGAGACGAGAGGGGGCGTCATACACGCCAGTGGCCGACTGCCCTTTGCTGTGCTTCTCCTCCTGTTTGAAGATGAAGGCAGAGTTCTCCTCTTTAGTGATGTTGATGTAGTAGCAGGTATCTGTGGCAGACATGATGTGGCGAGGGCCAGGGTTCAGAAGTATGCTCTTATTGTCTTCTCTCTTGGTGCCAATTAGGCAGACACCATACCTAAGGTAAAAATGATTTTGGTGAATTTAACTTGGTGTTTAAGAGAGAAAAGCATAGCAGTGCTAACTGTTCAAAATTGATCAAAAGTGACAGTAAAGACTTTTACATTGTTACAAAAGATTTCTGTTTCAAATAAATGCTGTTCGTTTGAACTTTCTATTCATCAAAGAATTCTGAAAAAAAAGTATCAGCAGATCAACTGTTTTCAACATTGGTAATAAGAAATCTTTCCTGAGCACCAAATACATGATATGATTTCATATCATATATTTGCATATTATGAATTCATATCAAGGATCATGTGACATTGAAAACTGGTGTAATGATGCTGAAAATTCCTTTGCCATCACATGAAAAAATATATATTTTAATATATATATATATTAAAATATAGAAAACAGTTATTTAAAATTGTAATAATTTTTCACAACATTACAGTTTTTACTATATTTTTATCAAATAAATGCAGCTTTAGTGAGCTTAAGAGACTTCTTAAAAAACATTAGAATCTTACCCACCCCAAACTTCTGAACAATAATGTATAAAGGGAATGTGGTTTTAAAAATATCATGAATAAAATGCAAACGGTTCACTTCACATACATCCCAACAGTTAATTGTGCAGCTCAAAGTAAACGTTCCACAATCACTCACTTTTTATGTGCATGGAAGGAGGCATAAGTAAAACTCTTCCCATCATATTCGCCAAAGAACTTGCTGTCCATCAAACGAATGTGGTAAACTTCGTTCCCCGAGCAGCGGCCATACGTCCTCTGCCACTGTTCTGGAGACATTTGTCCCTCCCTAAAACCCCAAGCAGACAGTTCAAACACCAGCACAAAGATGACACTCCAAACCTCGTTTCAGCAAATGTGATATTACTATTATTGTGGGATCATTTCAGAGTTTTCTTTATAAAACAATCTCAGCAAGTTCAGACTGCATGGGTCAGTCTTCCTCAGACAAATGAAAACAGGAAGTTTAATGGCATTGATCGGCTCTCCTCACAAATCTGCTCTGAGTAATTATTTGTGACACTATTATTTGTCAGGGATCACAGAATTGGAAAGGTTACATGAGGTGTCACTATTTATTTAATAAATCCTTCAATAAATTAAACAACATTTCAGGAAATGCTTCTTTTACATCAGTGTCAGAATAAAGAGGAAAGACATCAGTACTGACTGTCCACGAGATGTGTGCACCAGGAGTGTGACCAGTGTAGAGGTGGCCGGACACACACAGTTGAGGGCCAGCATGGCATACTTGAACTCCTCCTCACACACCACATGATCTAACAAACAAAACATACCGACACATCATCTATGTGAGAATTATAATATATGATATGATATGATATGATATGATATGATATGATATAATATAATATAATATAATATAGTATAATATAATATAATATAAACAACATGCACTGGTTGTTATGACTTGGGCCAAATATTCATACTTATCAAATCACCCTGGATCATAACAGTAAATGAACACATATTAAATATTGATGTTCCCTTAAAAATTTATGAATTTCGACAAAATAGCTCTCAAATTATAAAGCACCAGGCACAGATGGACTCCCTGCTGAATTATATAAACACTTCTAGGACACCGTCATTCTTGTGAAATTTGGAAACACTATGAAACTAAAAACACATCAGTGAACTGCCCTAATCTCAGAACTTATGAAATTTTCTGGATTTTTTTTCTCATTTTGTCTCTCATAGTTGAGGTATACTTATGATGAAAATTACAGGCCTCTCTCATCTTTTTAAGTGGGAGAACTTGCACAATTGGTGGCTGACTAAATACTTTTTTTCCCCACTGTAAATCCAACATTACCACTCCATTTCACAAATCAACATAACATCAACTTCAGTAGAACAGCTTTAACACCCAGAGATGATTCGGTCATCTTATTCATTCAGTTCAAATTGGTTTCATTACAGACAGACACTCTTTAAATTAGAGACATTATCCTTTTAATGTACTGCAAGTGCATAAGAGAACACTTTTAAAAAAATGTTTTTTTTTTTTTTTAATTTTAGATGCAGAAAGACATTTGACAGAGTTAACAGGACTGTTCGTTTAGTGACAAAATATATGCTTATGTTGTGTTTTTGTCATTTTTAGTATTTTTTATATATACACTATGTCTACATAGTTTTTATTAAAAACATTTTTTACCATAGAATTTTTAATGTTGCAAATTGCATTTTTACATTTTATACCACCCCACCCACCATATACGACCCTACCCAGCCCCAACAAAGCAATCCCAAATTAGAACACAATGACAAAATAAAATAAATAAAAAAAACTTATTTTTTTATTTTTTTACAAAAAATACATAAAACAAATTAATAATAATAATAATAATAATAAAATAAGGGGTATACATATATACCTACACTCAATCCACGTCTAAGATTTGTAATTCATTAAAGAATGTGATAAATTCTTGCCATTTTTCAAAAAAAGATTCCCCCCTACCTCTGATATTGTACTTCATTTTTTCAAGTTTTAAAAAAAAGACCAAATCTTTGAGCCAAACTGAAATAGAGGGGAGTGAGGGGAGGTCCAAGATAACAGTATTCTGCACCTAGCAAGAAGAGATCCAAAAGCTATGACGTCAGCCTGTCTCCGGCTTAAAGGCTGACATTAATTTTTTTATTCAGTTTTAGTTTTGTTATTTTAGTATATCAAGTTAAACTTATTTAAAATGAAAAAAATTTTCCTTGGCAACAAGCTGAAATACAAAATTGTAATATTATATTTCAGTTACTGTTTACAGCATATTATTTCAAATACTGAAAATGTTTAGTTTGTTTTAGTTAACTTTAATATCCTTGATTTTTCGCTGAGGTGCCGAGCCGGTGACCTGGCCGCTCAGGGGTGGTACAGCAGCCGTGGCGACGGGACATGACATCTCCGTTCCCTCCTTCAGGGAACGAGGGTTACATACGAAACCGAGACGTTCCCTTTCAGTCAGTCACTCTGAGTCACGACGGTGGCCGACGAATTGGGATCCCTACCAAAGCGCCATAAATGCTGCCCCTTCCAGTGTCCTGTGCGAGCCGCCTGCACCCCTTTGTGGTGTAGGCCGGGGCTCGCAACAAGAAGACTAGTCACTGTTGTCATAGCACTACCCACTCAGTGAGATTGGATAACACTAGGAAAACGTACCCGTTTCACTTGGAACAGGGATGTTGCGTAAGCCCCATCCTTCCCGAAGGAGGTTTCGGAAGCAAATACACATATGAACATCCGTTTAGGTGCATATGGAAAATTGGAGGTGATTGTAACCCTCATGGAATGGCAGAAGTCTGCCGGGGAAACATGGACTCTGAGGCTATACCGTGGACTTTACACATATGGGATTCACTTAGGTCTCTACATATGGAACCCAGCCCTCTACCGGTTCTCAAGGATTCAGCTAGTGAGGACCTGGCGCCGGACGTTCCACCATGTCTGGCTGCCGAGGGGACGGAGGAGCTCGAGAGGGCCTACAGTATGGACGCTCTGGAGCAGTTTTAGCAAGCCGACACTAAACCAGGGCCTCTCAGTGCCTCTACCCGTTTGAGGTGAGAACACAGGAGGACACCGGCTTCACACGAAGGCTATAGAATCTAGCGAACGTGTTGGGGGTCGCCCAGCCCGCAGCTCTACAAATATCTTTCCGCGAGGAGCCATGAGCCAGCGCCCAGGAGGATGCAACACTCCTAGTAGAGTGAGCTTGCAACCTGAGCGGGCAGGGCACACCCTGTGCCTGATAAGCCAGGGTGATGGCATCCACAATCCAGTGGGCCATCCTCTGCTTAGAGACGGCATTCCCATTCTGCCGGCCTCCATAACAGACAAAGAGCTGGTCTGAGGTCCTAAAGCTTTGTGTCCGGTCTACGTAGCATCTCAAGTCTCGGACGGGACAGAGCAAAGCTAGAGCTGGGTCTGCCTCCTCCGGGGGCAGCGCTTGCAGGCTCACCACCTGATCCCTGAAGGGAGTAGTGGGAACCTTGGGCACATAGCCGAGCCGGGGCCTCAGGATTACCTGGGAGTCAGCCGGCCCAAAATCTAGGCACGAATCGTCGACTGAAAATGCGTGCCGGTCCCCTACCCTCTTGATGGAGGCCAGTACAAGCAGGAACAGAGTTTTCATTGAAAGAGCCTTTAGCTTGACTGTCTGCAAAGGCTCAAATGGGCCCTGCTGTAGTGCTTTGAGCACTAGAGACAGGTACCAAGAGGGTATAGTGGAGGGCCGGGGAGGATTTAACCTTCTCGCCACCCTAAGGAACCTGATAACCAGATCATGCTTCCCTACCGACTTCCCTTCCACGGGGTCATGGTTAGCAGCAATGGAGTGAGACAGCCTTCGCTCCAACCCTTGCTGCAAAAAGGAAAGCACGACCCCAATTGGGCATCTCCGTGGGTCTTCCCGATGAGAAGAACACCACTCGACGAACAGGTTCCACTTCAAGGCATAAGCGTGTCTCGTAGACGGTGCTCTCGCCGAAGTGATGGTGTCAACTACCTCTTGGGGTAGGTCACCAAGAACCTCCAGATGCCACAGGGTGCCCCATCTCTAAGTCAGTAGATCCTTCCTCAGAAGAATCTGCCAGGGAGGGGCTGTCGCGAGTAGCATTAGTTCGGGGAACCAGGTCCAAGTGGGCCAATACGGCGTCACAAGCAGGACCTGCTCCTCGTCCTCCCTGATCTTGCACAGCGTCTGTGCGAGAAGGCTCACTGGGGGAAACGCATACTTGCGCAGGCCCCGCGGCCAGCACAACTGGCAGTGAGAGGTTTCTAGAGAGGCAAACAGGTCTACCTGAGTGGCTCCGAAATGTCCCCAAATCAGCTGGACCATCTGGGGATGGAGTCGCCACTCTCTCGGGAGCGTAGCTCGAGACAGCTCATCGGCCGTACAGTTGAGCAGGCCCAGAATGTGAATTGCACGAAGTGACCTCAGAATTTTCTGACTTCAAAGGAGGAGGTGGTGGGCGAATTGCGACATGTGACGGGAGCGCAGACCACCTTGTCGGTTGATGTACGGAACGGTCGCTGTGTTGTCCGTTCGGACCAGCACGTGCTTGCCCCGTAAGCGCCCTTTGAGACGGTTCAAGGCAAGGCGCACTGCTAATAACTCTAGGCAATTGATATGCAAGTGCAGATGGGGGCCCGTCCAAACCCCCGACACTGCGTGCCCGTTGTACGTGGCCCCCCAGTCGGTGGTGGAGGCATCAGTGTAAACCACAGCATGTCTGGAGACCTGTTCTAGGGGCACTCCTGCCCGAAGGAACATAAGATTTGACCACGAGGTGAAGGTTTGGTGACAGGCCGGTGTAACTTGGTGAGTGCTGCGCTGCTATGCCCACCTCAGGACTGTTCAGCCAGTGCTGAAGCGGTCTCATATGCAATAGCCCTAGCGGTGTAAGTGCCGCTGCAGCTGCCATATGCCCCAGGAGCCTCTGAAAGTTTCAGTGGGACCGCTGTCCTGCCCTTGAACGAATTCAAGCAGGTCAGCACCGACCGCGCACATTCCTCTGTGAGGCGTGCGGTCTGTTCGACCAAATTCAACTCCATATCGACCATACTGTTGTGAAGCAGATGCCGCTGAACTTGGGGGGACACCGGGCGAACTGAATCGCATACCCGAGGCTGATGGTCCGCAGAAGTCAGCGAGATGGGCTGGGTAGCGCTAGCCAGGAACCCAGATACCGTGCAAGCGGGACCAACGGAACCACCACCGTACCCGCAGTGGGGCAGCGAGGTTGAACGCAGGGACCCAACTCGGGCGACTTGTGAGCGAACCAGAGAGTGGTCTGAGTGTGCGGTGCAACGCTTACCTGGTTCCACAGGTTGGCAGAGGGTGCGTGAGTAGGGCCTTTATTGACGCTCTCGAACCGCCCACTGCTGCCTGCTGGCGAAGGAGGAGGATGAGTGAGGTCTGGTGTTGGGCCGTCTGCGACTCTCCGTGCCCTCCTGGGACCCAGAGATAGAGAAAACCGCTCTCTCATCGAGATTTTCCAAATTCTCCACCCGGCCCTCCTCCGGGGGAGGTAGAGGTGCCTTCACCATACCCCAAAGAGCAGCTTCCTCCCTCTCTAGGTGAGGTTTTCACTCAAGCCCTACCCTCTCGGCGGCCCGGGAAAGCATAGCCAACATCTCTGGATCCGATTCAGGCCTTGCCACCATCCCGGAGGGCGGCAGCGCAGCCGAATCTTCTTCTCCAGAGAGCTCTTCCTCTGATGCAGTGATCGACATCTGGTCATCGGGAGGAGCACCGAAGGATACCATTGGTACGCTCTTTAAAGAGGGCCCAGCGCGTTCCTTTGGCGGCTCAACTGGTTGCGAAGCGCTAGAGGAGCGATGGTCCCCCGAGATTTGGTTCCCTGAGGGGTTTGCCACCACTGTAACCCTCAGACCGCCCGTGCTACTGCCCGAAGTAGTCCATGCCTGGCTGCCGCCAGGACGAACACTAGATTGCGGCAGAGGCAACGGACTGGCCCGCAGCTCTGAGATGGTCATCTTCCCGCAATGGGAACATGACTCATCCGCGAATGCCACCTCAGTGTGTTTAATGCCCAGACACGTGAGGCAGCGATCATGACCATCACCTGGCGCCAGGTAATGACCGCATCCAGAAATACACGGGTGAAACGGCATCTTTAAAAAGAGGATCCGTCGTCTTTACAAAGACGCACCCGCTTATTGTACTCTTTCAGGGAAATGCTCTTTTAGTGCTGAGGCGCACAGGGGAAATGGCCGCTTGCAGCACAACAGGGGGTAGTGCAGCCTGAAGTGCGCAACCCACTCGATACAAGAACGACCACCGCTGAAGCGCCGTCCGCCAACACAAGGAGCTTCCAAGAGCGTGTTGAACTCGTAGCTCACTGAAGACACTTGGATGGAGCAGAACATTGTTGTTGCTCGGCTCCGAAGTGAAAAGCTGGTATGCATTGCACCAGCTGCCTTTTTATGCTCACGCTGGATGGGTGCAATAATTGCATGCCAATGTGCATTGGCGAGTTTAGTTACACTCGAAGTAGATTGGTCTCTCGAAGTGAGATCCCAATTTGTCGGTCACCGACGTGACTCAGAGTGACCGACTGAAAGGGAACTTACTGTCACAGCCAGTACTAACTTCTGACACATTTGTCAACCTTTTTTCACAATAAAAACACAATCACACTGTATACTGTTAATCAAGGCTACTGCTATATTGCCATGGATGACTTTTATCTGAACATGTGAATCAATAATATAATTCAGAGCTACACACAAAAACGAGAAACTAAACATGAATCTTGCATTAATTGTTAAAAATTTTAATATACCTGTGAGTTAAGGCCACTTTTTTAATTTTTTTATTCATTATTTACCTTTCTCAAGGTGTTTGAATGATCACATGCTTTTATAGCATTGCACATGCAAAGGGGCTCTATTAATCCCTCTGCTTCATCTATTAAACAAACACATGTAAATGCAAATGCAGTGACTCAAGAGGTGGAGGCCATGCTAGACACACAAAACAGCTGCTCATAACCACCAAACACTTCAAAGAGGGGGAGACGGAGTGTGTAGAATTCAGATGGATCTATATTTATTATTCATACACCTTTATGAAACACACACGCACACACACACACACACACACACACACACACACACACACACACACACACACACCACAACCCTCTATAGCACACACACACACACACGCACTCACACACACACACACACACACACACACACACACACACACAAACATACTTATGCACTCACAGACGCATACACACACACACAAACACATACTTATGCACTCACAGACGCACACACACACACACACACATAAACACAAACATTTAAAAACTCACACACACACACACACACACACACACACACACACACACACACACACACACACACACACACACACTACAACCATCTATAGTACAAACAATAAGCTACAGTTGCTAACAGATTGTCCTTAAAATAAGTCTATGTCTAACTGTCAGGACAATAGTTTGTTTATATATCATAAGGTTTTTTTTGTTGACTTGCTGTTTTATTAAAAGTAATGGACTATATAAATTATATACATTTTTGGTCAAAAGACAAATATGAAAAATAAACTACCTCATGTCTGTTCAAATCTAAACATGATTAATGAAGGACAGGTCACTGTTTGCTGACTGCATATGAAATGAGTCAACCTGAAGAAGGAAAAAAACTGACCTGCAAATTTGACATGGAATTTGTTCTCAGGTTTGAGAATCTGGACATATAGAGGACAGTTTGGAGCAAAGTCCTTCACAGCCCATGCTCGCAGAATGGTTTGATGATCCTATAAGAACAGACATCATTCTTACAATAAAATATGCACATTTCATTTTGCCATTAATAGCAGTTTACGTTCAGGAAAATCTTATACATTTGTATATTTATTAAGTGAATCACAGTAAAAAAAAAAAAACCTGTTGATAGTCAAACTGCAATACATGCAATAAGTGTCAATAATAACATTTAGAGCTGCAACTAACAACTACTTTGACAATCAGTTAATCTTTTGATTATTTCTTTGATAACTGATTAAACCATTTGAAATGGTTAGGCCTACAATATAAAGTAATAAAACGTCACAGTCTCATCATAGTTTAAAATATGAAAACACATTTTATAAAGTATGACTAATATTCCAATGTATGTTTCAAATTTCCCACTAGCTTTAAGTTACTATTCATTTAAAAATAGAATTACTTGCATTGCATACCAGAGTTTCTATTATGGCTGATTTAAAAGTAAATCTGATGTTTAACAGTGAAAATTGTTTTGATCAAAATAATCAAAACAAAAACTTCCTGTTTTTGTTGCACTCCATTTGATTAATTGTAAAAATTTCCTGTGCTTGGGAAAACGTGTGTTGTATATTATTCATCCTACATTCATAAAAATGTGTGCTTTTTAAAATAGAAAATAGGTTTATTTTTAATAAATTGAAGTGGTGACACCGATGAAGATTCTTCTATATACAGCTCAAAGACCTGACTAATCAATAATGAGATACAATTTATGATTATTTTCCTTCTTAGTTACTTATTGAGTTGTTGTTGCAGCCTTAATAACTTTTACTTTAGGCAAGGTACTAAATTATGAGGCTATATTTACAGCTGCAGTGCGGTCCACTTCATTTCTGCTGCTGAGGATGAAGCACGCCTCTGCATCGTCCATCCTGCAGGACACAGAACATCATTACACAGCAGTGTCATTCAGACCTGAAGTGAATTCCTCCAGAAGGACTGCACATGTGTGTATACATAGATAATTATTGCCATGTTTCTCACAGGGTCAATTTCACGGTATACTGGCCTCAAGTCCACCAAAATACACTATAGATTTACAGAGCGAGTCATATGGGTTTTCGAAAAATATATTTTTTGCAGTTTGTAACGTAGCGATCCTTAAATGTAAACAGTCTGCAAAGTTGTTAATCAAAAAAGTGCATGATAAATAAAGATAGAGTCGACTCTGAACCGCGTTAACGAGTCATCACATTTTCGAATCTTCGGCCTGTTACCTATATACGTCACAAGGTAACATATTTGCATAATCCCCGCCTGCCCTCGAAATATGAACACTCTAACCTGCCCACAAACACTTCCGCTAGTTAGTGTGTTTTCATCATGTCGAGAAGACGCTGTTTTCAGCCTCACTGGGCATTCTAACACAGTTCCCACATGTGCACCTCAAATAAGTAAATAATAATAATGAATGCAATAAAACTGCTGTCACATCACGTGAAGTACCACATACAAAGTTTAAACTTACCACTGAGAAACATCCTGATCAAGTCGTGCTTGCGATGGAGTTTCCGGTTGAGTGACTGCATCGGTATCATTCTCGGATTGATAAGGTAATATTGATGCCATTTTAGTAAACTTATAGTATCTTTGTTTGCAAGTAACCCTCCGGAGCAAAAACAATTATGGTAATGGGCGTTTCGTTTCCGACACGCATTGTATACGGAAAGACCAATCACAACCGACTTGGCCAGCTGACCAATCAGAGTAGAGTAGGCTTATGGAAGGGAGGAGTTTACAGACCTTAAGCTCAGAACTGCTTTGAACGAATCGTTTCGAAATCATTGAAAAATGATTCTAATATTAAATGTATATTCTGAGAAAATTACAATGTTTTCTGACCTTAGATGCATTTAAACCTGTTATAGGGGACTCCAACACAATATTAGGACACTTTAAAATACCATATGGCCTGCTCTATGTTTCTTTTTATTGAAAAACTGCCATTAATATTCTGCTTGTTTTCACACTCAATGTTTTCTGGATGTGTTCTGGGTTCCTGTTAAACTCTGTCGCCAACAGCATCGGTGACATGCTGTCAGTTACCACAGTAAATAATTTTGACTCTTCCCTCAGTTTGCAAAAACAAGAAAAAATTAAGTGTAATGGTTTTACAATGGATGCCTGTGGTGTACGACACTGCAATAGGATAAATGTCACAAAATGCACACTGCATCTAAAGAACAGCTACAATACACGGGTAAACCAAGCATTACAAACACTGTCTATCCTTTCTGTGACTGTAAACAGACCCGACAACTTCTATTTGTAAATCTACATTATGGAATAACAGTCTCTAAATCTCTGAAGTCATTAAAAATACACATTTAGGCCTACATAAATGTTACATAAATGTAAAGTCTTATTTGTGCATTAAATTACAGATACAAAAAGACCTGTGTGTATTTGTTGAATGAATTGTGAATTTAAGAGTCCTAAACACAGTACCCAGGCAAAAGGAAAAGGAAAGGAAAATATATACTATATTATAACAGAATATTAGCAAGATGTACTATTTATGTCTACATTTCTTTTAACCAACTGGTGTAGTTACAGCATCTAGCGGCAGGCACAAACTGGATCACATTAACCAGCTAAACCACGACTTGGTGATAAGTGACTTAAGTGACTTAAGTAATTACTGCAAATAACAAATTGACATCATGTCACAGATGCTTTCGACGGCGTTTGTTTTAAACCCAAAACATTCTTTAAAACTGAAAGATACTGTGAGGAATAACTACTGGCAAAAACGTAAACTTCTCACAATATGCATAATTCATCTAGTAATATGCAGCAGCAATAAGCACATCTTAAAAATTAAAAAGGACTAACGTTGTTTAAATTCCAGCCTTCCCATTACAATACACAGATTACACATTTAGCCAGGCACTCTAGACCGAGCTTTATGAGAAATTCATGCACTAGAATTTGAAGTGGGCAAATTGGGACAGATTCGCTGCATTTATGATGAAGGAATATAGTAGGATTTTAAGTGCAGTTACATTGCAGGAAAAAGCACATATATTACCCTTAAATTTCAGGGCTGCTTTAATAAGGAACAGATGGGCTTGAGACTGGTGACAGGTTTGGCTCTGGCGGTGGAGCTTCCAGGTTGACACTTCAAATTTCCTCACAGACTAATTTAGATTTTTTGGGAGCCTGTCCAAAGCTTCCATTTGGAAACAGTTCATCAGTATGCTTATGCAAGTTTGAATTATAGAAATGCCCCACTGCTGTACTGTACACCGCTGTTCAAAAATGACTTGTGACTGAAGTTTACTAACAGCTCTTTCAACTCTTAGACTCTAAAAAGCCGGAAACACAAGTTGTCTTTAACAGAGAATAATGAGATTAGGCTAATTTAATTAGCTAAACTGCTTAGCCTGCCATTAGGCCAAACCTTAATGGTGAAGCATTGTTGTGCACTTTATAGTGAGCCATAAATCGTCCATCACAATTGCTGCTTTAAGTATTGTTCTTGCAAGTTGTACTATTGATGTCTACATTTGATAGAAATTGAAGTCACCTTGCTCAATATAAAAACAGTTCATTTATAAAAAACTGCACTCCATATCTTCTGTCCTTAAATATTTTTTGGTGAATGTAACTGTTGAATGCACAAGAGCTGATGCTCACAGGCTACTTGGGAAATGAAGATCTCTGACTATATTAATCTCATTCTCCATTGTTCAAATGTTCTAAGTAATCAAGAGGTAGTATCAATGTATTTAAAAAGTACTTGATGAAATCACTTGCAGATAATTTTACAGATACATTGGACTGATGTCTGTATCAGTCTAATGGCTCTCTCATAGACTCAAACAAGGAGTCAGAACCTCAATTCAAAATGTAAAGTGACTCGGATTCACTTGGTTTAAAAATCTGTGTTGTCGTGTCAATGGACATGACACTTGTATGAAGGTCTATCCAAAATTGTAGTTGTTTCATTTCTTAGTTCTTTCATCTTTCTATTTTAATCATGTGAAAAACATATAATCAAGGGACCTTTTATGCAAAAACCAACATTTTAAACGGCTTACTTGGCCCTCATCAGGTCTTGGTCCTTCAGTGCAGAGCCTTGGAGGTAGATAACCCGTTGAGACCACAGCGGGATCTGCAGTATACGCCGAACCTGGATGTCCATCTCAGTGGGACAGAGTATCACCACATAATAATCCTACAAGACATTTAAGAATTAATGATACCACCATCACATACAGGAAATGAGCTAGATTATAATACAGATTTTTGGAATACATAGAGCAATAATAAACACTTACATATATGGGAATATGTATGTACCTGTAGTCTCGGGTGGGCGTAGAACTCATTGAGGAAATCCATGAGCAGGTCTATTTTGAGTGAAGTGACGCAGAGAACCACATGCTTCTCTGTCTGAGCACGATGTCTGCTGTAGTTTCCACCTGACTTCTGCCTCTCCATCCAAAGATACGCTAACTCCTCAAACTGGTGTCGAAATGAGAGACAGAAAGAAAGTACTGTGTGTAAACGCAGTGCATTATTAATAGTTTCACTTATATCTGATAAGTGATGTAAAAATTAAAATGTGCTGAACATTTACTCACCCTCAGACCATTTAAGATGTAGATGAGTTAGTTTCTTCAACAGAACATATTTTAAGAAAATTAGCATTACATCACTTGCTCACCAATGGATCCTCTGCAGTGAATGGGTGTCATCAGAATGAGAGTCCAAACAGCTGATAAAAACATCACAATAATCCACACGATTCCAATCCAGAAATGAACATCTTGTGAAGTGAAAAGACGCATGTTTGTAAGAAACAAATCCATCATTAAGAAATTTTATAGCAAAAATACCAGTCCAAAATCAATAATAACACAATGAAAAAGTCCATCCCCTGTTGTCCTCTTACATCAAAATCCACCAACATATTTGTTTAGAACTTGTTTCACTTGTAAACAGTGTTTGATCTGTGCATATTTCTCTCCTGATTCAGGCAAGATGATTTTTTCACTAGAGAAAACAATATTATGGATAGAGGATTTGTATTTTAGACAGAAGCAATGGTTTGAAGTTTAAAACATCTTAATGATGGATTTGATTATTACAGACATGCAGGATTTCACTTCACAACATGTTAATTGATTGTTTTTATCAGCTGTTTGGACTCTCATTCTGACGGCACCGATTCACAGCAGATGATACATTGGTGAGCAAGTGATGTAATGCTGAATTTCTCCAAATCTGTTCCGATGAAGAAACAAAGACTTTTATCTTGGATCTTGGATTTCTCCAAATCTTGGATATGAGGGTGAGTACATTTTCAGAAAATTTTCATTTTTGGGTGAACTAATCTTTTAATACTGAAGCTACTGATTGTGCTGTTTGTGTCACCTGTAATGGCAGCACCACCAGAGCCACACAGATCATGATGACCACCAGTAGCTGAGAGGGCCAGATTCTGGGTGTGACATCTCCATAACCAACAGTCGAGAAGGTGACGATGCAGAAATATAAAGCGTCGAAGAGGGAGAGACTCTTCCCTGCCCGCTCGAGGTGCTGAATCCCACAAGCCCTACGGAGTATTACAAAAGAACTTCAGGAAACAATTTTGAAAATACAGGATACATCTAATAAATTCAGCATCATGGTATTGTTATAGTTTCATTAGAAAGACATTTCAAGGCTCTTTGCCTGAACAGGGTTCAGTAGAGCTACTCAGTCATGATGTCAATTTGTAGGCTTGCCCAGAATGCCATTCCACCATGGGCTCCCTTAGGAATTTCAAATGGTTTTTTTTAAATAGCAGTTTTCGATTTGAGTAAAATAAGGTCTGTGGTTAGCATTTTTTAAGACTTTCCCATTTTATTCTACAACATAAACTACATGTCACATCTAAAATGGGAATTTTAAAACCACTGTGTGGTTTACGTTATAACATACATTTAATTTATAATATAAATACATAAGGACTGTAACAACTGTCTGATTAATCACATTCTGTGGTAGCTGTAGTTCGTAAGTGAGAACTTTATTCGGACATGTCCCAGTATATTGATTAAAGTGTATCTGATACATTTGCAAATATATGTTGATACAAAATAAAACATATGGGCAGTGGTGTAGTGGTACCTTGAGAAGTGGGTATGCTCTTAATTTATGCCCCAATTTTTTTAAGCACCCCAGCAAAGGATGAACATTCTGTGTTATAAACAGTGATATGTAAGACTAGTCTTGCATATTAAATTCACCCCAAAATGGGCCAGTAGTATTTGCACACTGTCACTTAACTTCTGCTGCTTGACTTCACGAAGTAAGGATCATTATGACATTAATATTAGCCATAGAAGAGGTGCAGAAGATTTTACAATAAATAATTCAAATAAAAATAGACTGCAGTAATTAACATTTTGTCAGAACCTCTAGTAAATTACATGCTATTTTGTTTAGTTGTCTGTTCAGAATCGTGGAAGAATCATGATCTCTATTTGAAACAAACAAAAATTGTGATTCTCAATTTAACCAGAATTGTACAGCTCTGCTCCTGTGTGTGACTGACTGTTTCTCCCATGGCAAATGGTAATTTCGAGCCCTGACACAGGGGTGTAGCCATCATTTCAGAAGTGAGGGGGACAGAAATGTCAAATAAAATAATACCTTTTTTTGTCTAATTGACAGGTTTTATTATTATTGTTGTTGTTATTGTTATTTTCCTATCACTTTTAATTGGCTGAGAAATCAAATACACTGCTGGACAATAACCAATAATTTGTATTCTATAATATTTTTCCTACAACAATTTTATGATTTGTTTATATACAAACACTTTTTCTATTTTTAGGCAGAAGATACTGTATATTTTATAGTTTCTATAGCCAACTGTAATAAATGCTATGCCAATTAGCACTGTATTATTCAGATGCTTTTTGATGACCTGAAGATAACTTGAAAAACACACATAAACTACATTTTGTCGCATTTGTGTGTTTATTGTCCTCATGTTTCATCAGTCAAAATGTTTCTTTTTATTCAGCTTAGCTACATCAGAGATTGATTTGGCTACGATAGCTGGATGCCTTTGTCCATATTAGGATTTCCTGGCACATCATAAGTTATTACAAAGCCACTAGAAAGACAAGCCTGCAACCCTTAGCCAAAAAAGCATAACAGCTAATGCTAACGCTTCCACTTTGTTGATACGCAGGAAAGGAGACCAGAGGCAGTTTTGTTTGAATGGATGTCAATGGAGGAGAGGCTTCACTACGTTGAATAAACAGCTTATCATTTAATAAATCGACAGCCTATCGCCTAATCTTCAACATGTTTTACACTAAACAATAGTTCTGGATTGAACTATTTTTAGAGTTTACACCGAAAAAAAAAAGTTTTATAAAAGTCACAGACTTTTTGCGACAGATGGGATTCAGCTTACGGCCCTTCTCATTCATTCCTATGGTATCCGTAAACGGCAATTGAGTGTCGCACAACTCTGACTGAAATTCAGTGACATCAAGGCTGTAATGTGATTGATGTGTGTTATCAAGGCACACGTGATCCAAGTTGACTGTTACACTTTCTCCAATAGTAAGTAACACAGATCTCCCAATAGTAAGACAATTGCTGTGTCCCAATTTGTATACTATCCGTCCTAAATAGTATTTGAAAATAGAATTAGTATGCCCCAAATCATAGTATGTTGAAATTAGTATGCCAAAGATTCCTGGATGGTCTAAACTACTTCGAAGTTCAGATCAATGCACATATAGATACGTACACATTTCTATGGATGCACACTCTAATGGCTAATATTCTCACACAGAACAACCTCCTCGACAGCAACCAGTCTGGTTTCAGAAGTGTGACATTCAACCGAGACTGCCTTGCTCTCAGTTGTTAAAGCCCTAAGGCTGGCAAGAGCGGATACCAAATCTTCAATACTTATCTTGCTGGATCTGTTCGCTGCTTTTGACATGGTTGACCACCAGATCCTCCTGTCAACCCTAGGCAAAGGGCATCTTTGGGAGTCTTATCTCTCAGATAGGTCCTTCAAGGTATCTTGGAGAGGTGAGGTGTCCAAGTCGCAACATCTAACTACTGGGGTGCCTCAGGGCACAGTTCTTGGACTACTTCTCTTCTCTGTCTACATGGCATCATAAGGTTCTGTCATTCAGAAACATGGCTTTTCATATCACTGCTATACTGATGACACTCAACTCTACCTCTCAATCCATCCTGATGATAGTTGCTCGCATCTCAGCTTGTCTAACAGACATTTCTTGCTGGATGAAGGACCATCACCTTCAACTCAACCTTGCCAAGACAGAACTGCTTGTGGTTCCATCAAACCCATCGTTTTATCACAATTTCACCATCCAGTTAGGCACATCAACCATAACTCCTTCAAAAACAGCCAGAAACCTTGGAGTTGTGATTGATGATCAGCTGACTTTCTCAGACCACATTGCTAAAACGGCCCGGTCCTGCAGATCTGTTTATTCAATATCAAGAAGATCAGGCCCTTTCCTTCATAACATACTTCACAACTCCTTGTTCAAGCTCTTGTTCTGTCCAGGCTGGACTATTACAATGCTCTCTTAGCAGGTCTTCCAGCCAGTTCTATCAAACCTTTACAATTAATCAAGAACACGGCAGCAAGATACATTTTTAATGAGCCGAAAATAATACACGTCACACCTCTGTTTATCAATTTGCACTGGCTACCAATAGCTGCTTGCATAAAATTCAAGGCATTAATGTTTGCCTACAAAACCACCACTGGTTCTGCACTACTTTACCTAAATTCATTACTTCATTCTTATATGCCCTCTACAAAAGCGTCTGCTAAATGTAAATGTAAATGTAATATTCTCCACAATACATTGTGAGTTGGATGAGGATTCGATTAGAACTACAAACATGCATTAAAAAGCGTTTAAAAACTACAAACATGGCGGCTATGCGAGACTGACAAACAGGTAGAGAAAGGGGGTTGAGTGATAAATAATCAATGTCTAACCTGATGAAAAAATATTTATTTAATGTTATCAGAGTTATTTCTCATCTGCAGCAAAGACAAAGTTATGATGAATTAGGATGTCCCAAAGCTTACCTACTAATCTGCTACATACTCAAAAGTATATACTTTTTCTTCACAAAAAGAGTACATACTTTTAGGCTTCCAAAACTCAAAATACCATTTATCCTCCAGAGAGAAACTCTTTTTTTTTTTTTTTTTACAATTAAAGTATTTACTGTTCAAGAATGACATAAAATACGGCAAAAATAGTAATATACAGTGAAAGTTCACTACAATCTAAAATTATTGTTTTCTATTTGAGTATATTTTAAAATGCAAGTTATTCCAGCAATGTCAGCTAAATATTTTCTTCATGTGTTGCGTGACCTACATTGCATAATAAAAGGCATTAAGTTCACAGTCTTGTACCTTTGTCTTTTTCTCAGATTTTCAAAAACTTTTTTGCTTTTAAACAAAGTTTGTAATAAGACTCGTCTAAGAGCTGGGTGGTTCCGTTTATGGCTTACAGCTCCTTACTGAGTTTTTTTTTTAATCCCTACAGAGAAAATGAATGGGAAAATACTTCCAGAACCCAGACTGCTGAAAAAAGTGAGTCGTGACTGTTGTGCTCTATTACTACTCAGCATATTTTGTTTCAACATTCCTAATAAAACAGTAGCATCTTCTTTTGACACTGAGGGGGTAAAAATAATTTTGGACAAACTGATGTCCATTATTGATCAGGACAGTTAATTCATCTGAGTGTGACTGTTTCAGATTTTCTGCTTTAGATACAGACCTGTAAAAGGCTAAAGCCCAATCAAGGTTATAAGAGATCAAAGAGCTTTACCCAGTAAAGACCAGACAGAGCAGTGTACAGATCAGAATGAGGACCTGGTTGAACATGGCAGAGTGTGTGCGCTGAATGGCACGATGGAGATCATTCTAGAAAGGAACAGAGATAGATGAGAGATATCTCATCCCTCAGAGAATAAGCCAAGACATGTACAAGTACAAGAATAAAACACACATAATTCAGGCAACGTGAGATTACTGTAAACCCTGTTCTGAAAAAGAGACTGCCCATTTAAGTGACTGCTTAAAGATAACTTAATAACCTTCATTATCCTTCATTCACTGGTCTAGTGCTCCTCAAATAACTAATTATTCTATTCCACTGAATGCAATAGGGCAAAATATACTAAGAAAAATGTGAATACTCTTTAATAACTGTACTGCTCAATTATATACGAGATACACATGTACAGTAACGGTCAGAATTGTTGGTACCCTTGGTAAATATGATCAAAAAGATTGTGAAAATAAATCTGCATTGTTTATCCATTTGGTCTTTCATTATTTTATTTTTTTTTAATCTAAAAAAAAAGAAGATTTAATTGAAGTACAAAAAAAAAGATTGGGGGGAAATTTCCATTCCCACCATCAGGCCAATATTTAAGAAGTTCTAATCAACTAAAGATGTTACAAATCTTCCTGGAAGAGGACATGTGTCTATATCGTCCTAATGCACGGTGAGGAGGAGAGTTTGAGTGGCTAAAGGCTCTCCAAGGATGTATACAATGAAATATACTGTATCTTTAATGTTGTTCGTGTATTTTTCTGCCGGAGGTCCTGGACATCTTGTTCAGATATATGGCATCATGGATTCTATCAAATAACAACAGATAAAAAAAACTGACTGTCCATGCTATAGATCTTATACTGGGCGAAGGTTGGATCTTACAACAGGACAATGATCCAAAAACAAACATCAAAACAAAAATGAGTTACAAAATGAATATTGAATAAAAGGGTACCATTAATTGTGACCAACGTGTATTAGAGAAAAACATTTATTTCATGAGATTTCCCCCTATTTTAAATTCTTATTATTCAATGAAAAGTTAGATTTTTGTACATTTTTTAAATAAAAGATCAATAGGATTAACAATGCAGATTTATTTTCACTGCCTTTTTTGATCATATTTACCAAGGGTACCAACAATTCTGACCACAACTTTATGTTAACTACAATGTTGTGCACAAGAGATCAGGCCTTTAATGACTCCCTTTTTACTTTCATAATATTCATCTCACAAGGTAAATACATTTTAGGAAAGCTTTGGGGTAAAAGAGAAATATTTATGCCATGTCACATTTTGGTGATTGTTAGCATTTCTCTTTTACCAATATCTTTGCTTAAAGCATTTGTAAAAGGACATTCCCCCTGCCAGGTTCTCTCTGGCCATTTGACCCAACCATCTGGCAGGGAAGGGAACGCTGGCATCCTCTCAAATTTCTGATCATTGATGATGCATTTTCATTTGTCAAGTGCATAAGGAAGCAAAGCTTCCCAACACAGCAATATTATCAACACCAATGTTATTTTGCTAGACATCCAACCTGATTTCCTGTAGGCATGTGAAATGCACTCCACAGCTGAAAAAACTACTTACAATCATGTTCTCCAGCGCTGATTTGGCAAGCCAACAGTTAAGAAACACAGGAACAAATATGTTCCTCAGCGGAGGCCAAAAGATCTAGAAATAAAGCACTCAAAGAATGAAGGATGATTGTATCTAAAAATTCAGACGATAAAATAATAGACAGTTCAGAAAGAAATATCAGATCAACTGTTTGTAAATTGCCAATCAGTTTAAACAAAAACCAAGGCAAAAAAAGGCATTTTACTCTGCATTTGCCATAAAACAGTATAACTTTTTTTTTTACAGAAACATATATCTTTCATCAGCAAAAAAGGAGAGGATTCATATCTCCTTAGCAATCTACTGTAAGAAAAAAACTCAAAACATTTATAACAGAAAAGCATAATTGTGTTGTATACCACTCCATTGCTTTTACATCTGTAATGCCATTAGAACAAAGGAATTAAACATCCTGTAATTTTCTCCCACTGACTGCAGGTCAAAAAATGGTTATTTGTTACTTGGCTAATTGTTACATTGCATTAATAATCATTCCCTCTCACAACTGGCTTTCAGTTGTCAATGGCTACTCATATAATTACAATCAATCACAACAATACTATCCCAACAGTACTCAGCAATTACTATCAACAATGACTGTATGATGGCAGCAACTGGATACATGCTTCTGTGTCCACCAGATATCTTCATCACTTACTGTAATTATGAACGGCACTGTATTGATCATCTCAATGATAAAGGAGATTTGGAAAATCTGCTCCCAAATGTTCCCCTAGAAATGAAATAATTGTTACACTGCAGAAGCATACAAAAAGCACATTTAATGCACTTTAAAAAAAAATCACAACACAAGAAACATCCTAATTCACATAATGTAATAATCAAAAATAATCTGTCCTAAATATGTGACATAGTAATTACTGCATCCAAATTACAGTGTGAAAATAGCATGTCAAATGCATGGATGTCTGTTTCCACAACAGAATAGCAAAATAAAAAAGGCCATTGCTATTTTTTATCTCACAGATGTAAACTCAGAATTCTGAGAAAATATCAGAATTCTGAAAAAAATTCCTTCAGTCCAAAAGACGTGAAATAAAAAGCACCCTTGCACAAAAAAAACTGTCTCACACGGCTCCGGGGGGTGAACAAAGGCCTCCTGTAGCGCTTGCGCTCACTGCTGTAACAGAAGCAGTTCCGGGGGAATGACGTATGAGGTCAGCTTTGCGCATGCGCCGCTCAGAAGTGATGCACGCGGAGAGATCGAAACAAAACAACGGTCACTAATTAGAAGTACAAAACGAGGATTTGTAAAGAAGAATGTCGGAGGATTTCGATATAAGCCAAGAGGAGATTGGTTTTCCTTTGCTAAAGTAAGGAGACTTTGCTTCTTTTGATCCTGTAAACAAACGTTGGTTTTCATGAGACTCACCGGCGCATGAGCAACGCTGAACTCATACGTCATGCTCCCGGAACTGCTTCTGTGTCCAACTGCTGGCGCAAGCTAGATTAAAGTGATTATTATGTTTTGAATATGGATATTTTTCTTACAAAAACGCATTGATTCGCTACAGGAGGCCTTTGTTCACCCCCGGAGCCGTGTGAGACACTTTTTTTATGAAAAGGTGCTTTTTATTTCACGTCTTTTGAACCGAAGCAATGCAACACCTGCTGAGTACAACGATAGGGCTTGAAAGATCAAAGACAATTTTAATATAACTCCGACTGGATTCGTCTGAAAGAAGAAAGTCATATACACCTAGGATGCATCGGGGGTGAGTAAAACGCAGCCTAATTTTCATTTTTGGGTGAACTAACCCTTTAAGTGTGCAAATTCACACACAGCCTTTAATTACAACAAAGATTAAGCTCATTCAGCTTTTGTTTCTTGTTAAATCGATAAAGAAACAGAAAACAAGTTGGAGAATTTATTTTTCGTCAAAAGTGAGGAACATTTCCCATTATAGGGGATCTAAAGACACAAAGTGGCCCTTAAGCAGCCCAAGAGAAGCTGAAATAGATTTAATTTAGATCAGTGCTTAGAGAGCTCACAAGGGCAGAATAATGATGACAATAATCTTACCTTGTAGCTGAGATACGCCAGAAGCATAGCTTGCAAGAAGCTAATTAAGGCCACTGTCACCTGTGGTGCAGGAAACAATATCATAATTTTGATTAGCGGAGTATCAATAACAGTATACTGAGATTTCAGGAAATAACTGATATCTGAGTACTGAGTGAGAGTGAGAAACATAATTAGTAGTCATAAAGACATGTGAACAGTGATGTACACTCTTTAAAAAAAACAAAAGGGGAAAAAAAAGTTACGCAATACAAAATCCTCCTGGGGTCTGTCCTGTACACCTCTTTAACTGTCTGGTTTAGCTCAGGCAGCAGACAGGACAAAAGAAAATTGCAACGGACAGTCAGGACCACTGAGAGGATAATTGGTGCACTGTTTTTCATGGTTTATATCACTGTGTTCGTCTATGTAGTGGGGGGTATTTTTCATTGACTCTTTCTGCAGGTTACATCATTAAGGCAGTTGATGGTGAGAAAAGACCATCTTTATGAGAGAAACACTCAACTGATTTGTTTAAAGCACACTGATTTATTAAGGAACTAAACAAGTGACTGATTTTATGATTTAAAGCACACTGATTTATTAAGGAACCAAACTGATTTTATGATTTTATAGTCCCTGAATCATTCACGCAACCGGTTTGTTCAAAATGAATCTTTATGAGTGAGTCATTGATTCATTCATTTGTTCAAAGCACACTGATTTATTAAGGAACCAAACAAGTGACTGATTTGATAGTCTTTGAATTATTCACTCGACCAATTTGTTCAACAATGAGACAAGTGACTGTCTTTATGAGTGAGTCATTGATTCATTCAGTTAACCGATTTGTTCAAACCACACTGATTGATTCAGGAACAAGTTACTGTTTTTATGAACGTATCATTGAATCATTCACTCAAACAGTGCAATCGAAAAACTGATTTAATCAGGAATGAAACACCTCTACAGTTGTTTTGGCTCAGTGGCTTAGAAGGAATTTGTTTGGCAGACCAAAAACAGACAAAGTATCTGTCAATATTATGTCTATAACTTCTTGTTTATTGAAGTGTTGTATAAAAGCAATATTGTACTTGCAACTGTCTGGTCTGAATTCCAGAAGGGTATCCATATTCTTTCATATATGTAAAAATATTGACAATGAGCCAATCTGCACACACCTCTCTATAAGCTTTATTTTCATTTACTCTGCCTAGTTGTTTATTCTTTTAATGGATCTTGTATACTTAAACTATGTTAGTGCTCAGTGCCAGAAAAAAATCCAATAAAGCCAATAAAACTTTTTTAGATTAGGATTCTAAAGCACTAAAATAGAGATTTTTTAAGAAATAGATTCTAAAAGGTTTGTTGTACAATTTAAAAAGGTTCTTTCCAGGAATCACACAAAAAAATCTCGACCTACCTGTATCGCCCATACAGGAACTCTCCTATTCACCCAAAATATTAACTCCCTTCAAAAAACACAGCACAAGAAACAAACAGATAGGGCAATTAGAGAAATTTTTCAAGAACAAACACTTTAATTAGTTAATAAGTTTGATTTGTCATAATATCTACGCGCAGACAGGTCTCACCAGTTTATTTGTATGGGATCTGTGGTCAGGTTTGTTGTGTAGTTGCCACAGGCTTTGTTGCAAAGGGCATCTGTGATGTTTGTGCAATGTTTCCTATAATCACGATAACAGGCAGTTAGTACATAACAGACATAAAAGTGAAAGGCATCAGGGTTGAAACACTGAGGGATCATGCCTGCTGGCTCTGACATAAACGACAGCGTGAGATGACCTCTCTCGTTTGATTGCTGCTAGTAGGGCACCCTCTCCTCTCCCAGCATGCTTGCACACAAGTGCACACTGCTCTCTCTTTCTGTCACTTACTAACACACACACACACACACACTGTCCCTCATTGTCCCTGAATGTTTTTTGTGGCTGGTATTAATGGACACTTCAGACTGAGGAGTCTGGGCTGATCCCAAGAGTCGCTTTCAAGCAATTAAACAGTGCTTTTGAGACATACTATAATGTATTTGTTTCGGCTGCTGTTGTCACGTCACAGAAGAGTTGAAGTAAAGTCATTATACAGCAGTTAGTTCAGGTCCTCTAAGATGACTGGACAAGCACCGTTTCAAAACCACTGATATTTTGCGTGACATGTTTTCTATATAATAAAATAGAAAACAGTTAGTTAAAATTCTAAGAAAGTTTCATAATATTACAGTTTTTTTTACTACAAGAAATGTAATATAAGGGACTTCAATTGAAAACATAAAAAAACCTACTAACCCCACACTTTTGAATGGTAATGTATATAGGAGGATGAAAAAATTATGACAGTTTTCATATCATATCTATCCCTTTAAATATCATGCTTACTCACCGTGCACATGTGACCTGGTTAGTTGGATCATCTAGTGAGACTCTGATTATATAGAGGAGGCATGTTAACAACTTCAAGGAGAGGTTGAAGAGGCGTATTCTGAGACCTGCAATACCGTAAATTATGAAGTGGAGCTACATACCATAGAAAAAACATCTGGAAAATGTAATATAAATAATTCAGCGGTCTGGCAATACTGCACATTTACAGTACCATCATAAATCCACACAAACAGTTAAAACAGTCACCTGCTGTTATGATGATAATAGGCCACGTAAAAGACAAAAATATGGAGGCATTGTACATGTGCACATATACTAATATTGAGATCCATAAAATCTTGATTATTGTTTATGCTTATTGAAATTGATTTTGCTTTGTTGGTTTCTGAGTAGTTGTAAATGGCTCAAAGGGTCAAAAGATTTTACTTACTTGACCTTTGGTTTTTGATGAAGAAGAGCTTCAACCTCTCCTTGAATGTGTTTTCATTTACATAAAACTCCACCTGCACCCTGTGGAAAGGAAATAAAATTATGCTTAAAATAAATATTTTTTAAAACTCATTTTACGTGCAGTGGTCATAAATGTATGATACAATTACCCCTAAAATTACCCCTAAAATATTTGGACACTTAATCACACTTTATGATGATAATGCAATGATAATCACACATTTTAAAATGTCCAATTTTTTAAATATTCATTCAAAATATATTGTGCAACATTCACAAAGCAATTCCATAATGCACCATTGAATGCTCATTGTAAAGCATGTCCACACCTCAAATTTTTGGGGAAAAATTATTAACAGCAGCATACAAAACTTCAAGCAGCTAAAACTGTCCAGAGTGTAAACAACTTCTTTTAATCTCCAAATCCATGTTTAATATGTACAAGAGCATTTCAAATCTTTTAGGACATCTGACTAGGAGCATTAGCAATGGTGGTGCTTCAGATGAACTCTCAGTAGACATCAGCCTCTACCATCCGTGTAGGAATGTTTCACTAAAGTTACACTATTTCGAATCAATCTACTGTATAAGCTTGAATTTCTATATAATGTCATCATATTGCGGCAACATCCATCATGATCCAAAATCCAGTATCTTTGAATCTAGCCCAAACACACACTGTAGCTTCACGAAATCTGCAGTATCACCACCCACACAATGCTGCAAAATAATGAGCAATCATGTTAATGCTCATCATGCATATCACTAATGAGATGCATCTGGGTGAATCTCAGGAAGAACAAAAAATCTAAAGAAATTAATTTTTTCATACAGACAATAATTTCACAAAAAAATTATTTGTTGTAATGCTGCAATATAAACATTATGTCCAGATACATTTATTTATTTTTTATTAAAACTATTTTTTTATTACAGTAGGCTGCAGAGAATAGGAGTATGTACTTAGTGCTATACGTGATTTGAGCCATTTTGTTAATTTACGTTATTTGGTTTCTGTCCGTCACCCAACCACACTCAATCCGAAATGTGTCTTTAATACATCAGAAATCCCAATGCCAGGAATCCCAAACACAAAACACCACATCATCTAATCTATTGGAGCATGTCAGCCTATTTCTATACTACACTACTGGTCAAAATCATTTTTAATAATGAACCCATTTAAGCCCACTGGCAACTATAGTTGCCACAGTTTATAGTTGTCATTTTCCTTTTGTAAGTATTTTTCTAGATGTTATCCATGTTTTATTTCTCAATGACATGCAAGCAAACAACCAAATAAAGGATTTCAAGAAAAAAAAGGTATTTATTTCCTTCTTGTCACATGAGGTTGTCAAGTTCCTACCCCTACTTCCAGGAAACATGGCGAAGGCAAACCCTCCCAAAGAACATATATATACATAATCATGAAGGTCTCTAGAATCATCCAAACAAAACAAATCTTCCAGGAGATCTATAGTTTTTTGTATACTTAATCAAAAGTCCAAGCGGCAACTATAGTTGCCGGTGGGCAAATTACTTGTTAGTACATATCATGGGGAAATGGGGTATACTGTGTTAATTGGTTAATAAATCAAGGTTATTGGACTTGTTTTCTGCTTTTTGCTTTCATAATATCCCACCTAAAACATAACTTAACCCTTTAACTGACATCTCTACTGTACAGTAGACCTTAATTTGATAGGGAATAAATCTGTCAAAAGGAGGAGATGAGAGAGCAATCTTTCCACAGCTCTACTGCCCCACTTCTGTGTCTGCTTTTGGCATGGGGGGTGGGAATTCCCAGCTTTCAAGTGACAGCAGCAGTTTACAAACTTCAGTCAGTCACACAAAAGGAAGAATGGAAAGATAAGGAGCTAATGCATTATGCTGTAGATTATATTTTTCTCCCTTTTATGACATGCAAGGGGCAAAATATTGAGGCCCCTTTATCCAGTTCGGATGTGTTTCATTCTAATTGGTCAAGGACCCTAATTCTTTTTATGACTAGTAGCTTATGACTCCATTATAATGTTGAAATTCAGACAAGTAATGAGTTTACATTTACATTATTATATGAAATCACCTACTACAGTCAGCCATTGAATACTATGGGCCTAAAAAAATGCGTAATTTTCTTTCAGGTATACCTTTTTTATTATACAGAAGTAATATTTTCTTCATTCTATTTATTTTTATATATTTATTTTCATTTAATTAACACACCTCTAAGAATGAAAATGCCTGCATGTTCAATAATAAGTAAATAAATAAACAAGCAATCATGGGTGTAGCCTACACATGATAATTATTTAAATAATCATATATTTTAAAAAGAATATCATTAATTTCATGAATATCAAGGACTTTTGTCAGGGTTAATCCATTTGACCTAATCAATATGTATACATACTATATATACATATTTACATAAAGTATAGTATGAAAATATGTTTATGTACATTTATAAAACTACTTGTACCTTCACTGCAGTACTCAGGCTACTTATTCTAAAACTGCTTACATAAGGGAAAGTTAACCCAAAAATGGAAATTGTGTCATCATTGTCATCTTCAAGTTGCAAACCTATGATATTCTTTCTTCTGTTGAGCACAAAAGAAGATATTTTGCAGAATGTTGGTAACCAAACAGTTAAATGTGTAATTTTCTTTCAGGTATTCCTTTTTTATTATATAGATGTCATTTTCTTAATTCTATTTATTTTTATTTATTTATTTTCATGTAACTTTTTGATACACAATACCCTTTTGAGGCAACTTAATGGCTGCACTTTGTTCTTATTATGCCCCACGTCTAGGGGTAGTAAAAATATAGCTCTTAACAGGGCATAATAAATCTGGGTTGTGGTAATGGAATCCCAAGTGCGAATCACTCCGGTCGATAATCAAACATATTCACTGTTAGTCAGTTTAAAGGATTAGATTTATTTTAAAACAAGTGAAATAAAGAGCATCTCTCCAGGATGTCCCAAAGGCCAAAATAACAAACAAAACAAATCTAGGGAGGGAAAAAGAAGAGGATAAATAACCTAATCAAATAAGGAAATAAAAATACAAATTACTTCCCTAACTACCTAGCACAAAACAGAGCCCAAACAAGATAAGTAAAACAAAATGGCAGGACACCCCTTTTGCTCTACGATCTTAACACACAAAGTTGACAACGAATAAACGTGATCAACATATTTCACACTCCACTTGAGAATACACATTTGATCATCGGCCGGAGGAGGGATCCAGGAGCTCTCAACCCAATCGCGTCCGAACCAACAATGAGCTCCCCGTTGAATGCCGACGGCGTCCTTATAAAGGCCACGCCTCGTCTCAACCACCAATAGCGATCGTACACCCCATCAGCGGACATCCTACCAGAAAGCAGACAGAATGAAAGAGGGAGGAGAAAAAACACGTACACACACAACATGGCAAATACAAGAAACGCAGGTTGTAACACCCCCGGACACAAATAATCTACATATAGATTTACTCAGAATTAAACGACCGTGATAGGGCATCAGCAAGTACATTATCTTTGCCTTTCTTGTAACGAATTTCCAGGTAAAAATCCTGGACAAAAAGTGCCCAGCGCATGATCCGTTGATTCGAGTTCTTCATACGAGACAAGAAGACTAATGGGTTATGATCAGTGAATACAATCACCGGAAGGGAACTAGAACCGATATACACCTCAAAGTGTTGTATCGCCATTAATAAGGCCAATGCCTCCTTTTCAATAGTGCTATAATTTAGTTGGTGTTTTAGGAATTTTCTTGAAAAGTACCCAACAGGATGTTCTACCCCATTCTCATCATCCTGCAACAGGACAGCGCCAGCGCCAGTAGCACTCGCATCGACATCCATTTTGAAAGAACCCATCTTCATCAACATCACTGACAGAAACAAACCCAACTGAAGCTACAGGAATAACAGCAGAGCTTTTTGACTCCCCATCTTCCTCACGACGAACATACAGCTTCAGCATATTTACGTGACACACACGGGTTTTTCTCCGTCGCTCAGGAGTGCGAATAACATAGTTTGTGTCATTCAGCTTCTTGTCAACGACGTATGGACCAGAGAATTTAGCTCGCAGTGCAGCACCCTGAACTGGCAACAAAACCAGAACTTTATCTCCCTCAGAAAACGAACGAAGCACAGCAGCTTTGTCAAAACGCCTTTTCATTTTTGTCTGCGTGCTCTCCAAAGCAGTCTGAACCAGTTTAAAAGCATCGTGTAACCGCTCCCGAAAAGAACCGACATAATTCAGCAAATTACACTCAAAATAAGGAAATAAAAATACAAATTACTTCCCTAACTACCTAGCACAAAACAGAGCCCAAACAAGATAAGTAAAACAAAATGGCAGGACACCCCTTTTGCTCTACGATCTTAACACAAAAAGTTGACAATGAATAAACGTGATCAACATATTTCACACTCCACTTGAGAATACACATTTGATCATCGGCCGGAGGAGGGATCCAGGAGCTCTCAACCCAATCGCGTCCGAACCAACAATGAGCTCCCCGTTGAATGCCGACGGCGTCCTTATAAAGGCCACGCCTCGTCTCAACCACCAATAGCGATCGTACACCCCATCAGCGGACATCCTACCAGAAAGCAGACAGAATGAAAGAGGGAGGAGAAAAAACACATACACACACAACATGGCAAATACAAGAAACGCAGGTCGTAACAGTTCTGCACTATGTTCCACGACTTTAAGACAAATGGATTTGCTCTGTTATCATATTCAAGAGATTATAAACTAGATGCAACTTTTTTCGGGTTTGCATCGAATGTTCTTCGACTTTTATGCATGATAAATTTGTTTATGAATAAAGATTGATCTGTTGAAAGCAGTTATTTTGAGTTAGAAGCCAAAAGCTCTCCTCCAATTCAAATTGACATTGAAGTGGTGCATACAGCATTGCCCACCGGCAACTATAGTTGCCACACATTCAAATACGATTTTCAAGGAAAAAAAAAAAACCTGGGGAAAATAAATGCAGAAAATGTTCACATAGGACACAATTAACA